TATGTATTGCGCATAGGTAAAACCGGGCTATAACAAGAGCGCGTGACTATGTTAACGCATGATTTTGGCCCCGTTATAACATGGGCAAAAGAGGGAAAAATAGCCGATTTTATGCTATAATACTGTAATATGAATGACGTCACGTCCGGCATAACAAGTTTAAATTGACGCTCCGGAAAAAAATTCAACAAATTATTTATTAATTCAAGTGAAAAAATATTTTTCGTCATAAATTATATATTTTTGGAAAGCGCAGAAGAATACAAGTCTGAAGATGTAAATATCGATGTTATCGAGCGGATCTTTACAGAAAATTCAGAAGTCAGAAAATTGAACAAGGAACGAATATGAATTCGATGAAGATTTTAATAATAGCTCTTCTTTGTACGTGCGTTCAACATGATTCGGTTAACCAGAAAATCACAACGGGTCAAAGGTTTACAGATTTTGATGTAGAAGCGGCGGATTCTTATTTATATGGTAATTTGACCACAAATGAACAATTTACTCTGAGCAGAAAAATCACTGTAGAAGAAAATGCAGAAAAAGTTTTATTTGCTAATTATCAGTTTACAAGCGAAAGCATCTCTTATTATCATCAAATTCTATATCATTATACTTATATAAGGCGAACTTTTACTTCGGTCAATTTAGCAGCTACGGTGAAGATTCTTTTAGCGCTGGCAGGTGATATTGCGCTAAATCCAGGACCTATCCACAACCCGTGCACATCATGCAAACGGGCAATTGCACGGACACATCGATCAGTTACGTGCGACAAATGTGCGTCTAGATGGCACATTAAGTGTGCTAGGGTGGACCCGACATTATATTCAACATTACAACGTTCCTCAATTAATTGGTCGTGTTTTCATTGTGAGGATTTCTGCTTTTCGGACTCGTTCTTCGAACACGAATTTGTTCAGGATAACATCACAGCACAGACAGTTATTAACGAAACATCACAGACGGCGCCCGAGGATAATGTATTCAAGTGCTTCAGTAACAAAGGTCTACATTTTATACATTTAAACGTAAGATCCATAATTCCGAAAATGTCCGAACTGAAAACGATAGCTAATAACTGCAATGCAGCAATTTTTTCGATATCAGAAACTTGGTTGGACTCTAGTGTGTATGATGGTGAAATTGACATTCAAAATTATACTGTACTAAGAAATGATCGCAATAGAAATGGAGGTGGGGTATGTATGTACATTAGAAATGATATTTCTTTTAATGTAAGATATGATTTGTCAAACAACACAAATGAATGTATATTTGTTGAGATACTTTTGCCCCGGAATAAACCTATTATTGTTGGAACATTATATAGACCCCTTAAACAAACCGATTTCAATAAGTTTCTTGAATCAATTTTATCTAAACTTTCTTTCGAAAATGAAATATATATACTTGGAGATATGAATATATGCTTTTTTGATAACAAATCTGTTATATTCAGAGAATACTGCAGCATTTTGAGTTTATACAATCTTCAGCAAATTATAAAATCAGCGACACGAATTAGTTCTACGGGTTCTAGTCTTATAGATCACATTCTCTGCAATTATAAAGAACGAGTGTCTCAGTCTGGGTTATTCCTCTTGGGTTAAGCGATCATTTTATGACTTTTTGTACAAGAAAGATTGTTAAGAATCCAGTTAATTGTCATAGATATGTTAATATACGATCGCTTAAAAATTACTCTAAAGAAAATTGGATCGCGGAGTTGACTCAAACAGACTGGAGTTCTTGCTTTTATTCTTTAAATGTTAATAACGCATGGAATAATTTTCAGAAAATTTTCACTGATTTATTAGATAAGATTGCTCCATTTAAGGAAATTAGACTTAAAAATCAAACTGAACCTTGGATAGATTCAAATATTCTAGATCTGATACATAGGCGAGAGAAAGCATATGCAAGGTATAGAAAAAGTCGTAATAATTCTGACAAGATTTTGTTCAATAAACTTCGCAAAGAAGTACAACGATCTATAAAACTGGCAAAATCTGAATACTTCAAAGGGCAAATATTAGATAATAAGAACGACAATAAGAAACTATGGCAGAATATCAAATCCCTTGGTTACAGTAACAATAAAAAAGAAAGTCCGAATATTGTTTTGTCGATTGATGGTGAAACTTATCACGATCCTTGTAGAGTTGCAAGTCATTTTAATAACTTCTTTACAAATATTGCATCTAATTTAGTACAGAAACTCCCGGCAGCAAAGAATTTTTATAGTGTGGCATCCGATACAATTAAGAATTTTTATAGGAACATATCACAAAAAGAGTTTCACCTTCATCATGTAAGTGAGGAGTTTGTATATAAAGAATTATGTAGGCTTAATATAAGCAAAAGCACTGGGTTAGATGGTATCCCTGCAAAATTTCTTAAAGATGGTGCTGATGTATTAAAAATCCCTATAACTTATATTGTGAATTCTTCAATAACAGAGGGGGTTGTCCCAGATGATATGAAAATTGCTAAAGTAAAACCTCTACACAAAAAGAATAGTAAGCTAGATGTCGGGAATTACAGACCAGTTAGTATTTTATGTATTGTATCCAAGATTCTAGAACGGGCCGTGTATGTACAATTTGAGTCATTTCTAAGAACTAATAATCTAATTTACGAACACCAGTCCGGGTTTCGGAAATCTCATTCAACTGACACATGTCTTATTTACCTACTTGACTATATCCGTACAAATAGCTCCAAAGGGTTACTCACTGGTATGGTTATGATGGACTTACAAAAAGCATTTGATACCGTCAATCATGATATTTTGTGTGATAAATTAGATATATTAGGTGTCAAATCTATTTCTTGGTTTAAATCATACTTGTCAGGAAGGTATCAGAAAGTTAGTATTGGTAAATTTTTTTCTGACTCAATTCCTATTACGTGTGGGGTCCCTCAGGGCAGTATTTTGGGTCCTCTTCTATTTCTCTGCTACGTTAATGACATGGTAACAAGTATCGATTCTGATTGCAAGTTAATTTTATATGCAGATGATAGCACAATATTATTTTCGCATAAGGATCCAAAAATTATAGCCCAAAAACTTGGAAAGGTATTGGAACGATGCTCAGATTGGTTAGTAGATAATAAATTATCTCTACACCTGGGCAAGACTGAATGTATGCTATTTGGTTCTAAATCGAAAATTAATAAATTACAAAATTTTTCCATTTCATGTAATGATCAAACAATAAAGTCTTCGTCTGAAGTTAAATATCTTGGTTTGAATATCGATTGTTACCTATCAGGAGATAAAATTGTCAAGGGCATTCTTTCAAAGGTAAATGAAAGATTACATTTTCTATACCGTTACAAAAACTGTTTATCGGAAGAAATGAAGAAACAGATATGTCCTGCCCTTTTACTGTGTCACTTTGATTATTCTTCATCTTCTTGGTACCAAGGACTGAGTAAGTCACTGAAGCACAAACTTCAAGTAGCTCAAAATAAGGTTGTGGGCTTTATTAAAGACTACACTCCTAGGACTTCAGTGACAAATAAGGTTCTGTCCGATCTTAAATTATTAAATGTCAATGATAGAGTTAGACAGTTAAGACTCAACCACATTCATAAAGTTTTTTACAATAAAAGCCCTTCTTATTTAAAGGAATTGTTTAAGATTTGTAGAATATCCAATTTAAGATCCAGTAATTTTAATTTTGTTTTACCTCAAAATGATTCTTATGTTGAAAATACATTTTTCTACAATGCCATTAAAGATTGGAATTCTTTACCAGATAACATTAGATCAATTGACAATATCCAAACATTTAAAACGAAAGTAAAACTTTTTTCAAGTAATGAAAATGATAAACAAGTGAATAATATGTTTATTTATTATTAAATTGATGTGTAACTTATGATAAGGTTTTGAAACATGTTTATGTGTACTTAATATGTTTTAGTTTAAACGAAATTTATTTCATTTTGTTTGTGTACAATGTACTTGTCTTATTATATTGAAAAATGTGTCTTGATTATTGAAAATTGTCATTAATTTTAACTTCTTTATAACTCATTTATTATTATGTAAGTTAGTGTAATAATTTTACAGAAAATGGACCCCATTTGGAAATAAGCTTTTAGCTTAATGGGCAATCCTAGGGTTACATAGAACATACTTATTAATTAATCTTATCATTATTTTTGTGCATTTATTTGTGTGTTTTTATATATATGCAAGTTGATTTCTGTGATAAAATTGTATGTGTATAATTATGTCTATTCCCTGAATAAATCGATACGAAACTCGTGCTTAAAAAAACGATTCTGAAATTGAATTTGATGTCACTGATCTTTTTCCTACCGCCAATCTGTAATCATTCTAGGAATTTCTGAGGCGCCTGTTTTGTCTTTGGTAGAGTAATGTTATGTTATTCTTAAGTTAATATATATCTCCAAAGTTAAACTTTGTTAAATCAATTAAAATTCGAAATTTCGTTCGGTTCTCAAGTTGTTGGCCCCGGAAAAATAAAACGCATACGTAAAACATGTAGAGTTGGATAAATACCGTTCAAGCACAAGGATTTAATGTTTGTGTTTTATATATAATATACATCATGAATCTGTTTTAAAATTTTATGCTATAATAGCGTCAACGCACGTTTATTTCGTGTTATAACGTCTGCAGAGTCCCTCTCAACTGTTGGAGCCCTCGCCCTACCGGGCTCGGGCACCAACCGTTCCTCGGGACTCTAGTGCAGATGTTATAACACGGAAAAACGTGCGTTAACCCTATATAAACTTATGTTTTGAATTATGACATTTAATAAATATCATTTTGAACAATTGGGTCAAATGCAATTGTAATTTACAATAAATGTACCTCCAGTTTTCTTCAAATATTCTTTCACGAATAAATATTCGCCAGGTGTCTCAAGCCGCACAAGGTAGGCGCCCCGACTGTCACAGTACGCCTGATGTAAAAATAAAAATGTAAGCATAGCAATGTATGTATGTATATATATAAAAAGAGAAACTTAAATGCTTCTTTTGTTGTTGTTGTTCTTGTTTTTGTGTGGGGATGGGTGAAACTATATACATACAAATTATTGCAGTTGTATATAAACGGCAGACACGTTTGTTATGCTTGTATATAAAACATTTCTAAATAATTTGAGCCTTTTATAAACTTTCTTAATGAAAGAAATGAGAACACTGTACGCTATTTTTATCCAGCTATGCTGCGTAGTTGCTTTTTTATCAGTTTCAAATTTGTTATTATTTCTTAACAAATCAATGTCAAAACTTATGGCCGTTTTTAAAATCATGCAAATTACCGGCGCATGGCCATAATGAGGCTTGGAAATGAATTGGAATCTTAAAGTGTTTTAAATAGACAGTTTATTGCGAATATTGTTAATTGTACATAGATGAGATGTGATAAAATGAAATACATGTAAATATCATATATATTAAAATACATTATTAAATAATTATCAAATGAGTGGGATTTTGATATGAGGATATTTTATCAGCGTAAGTACATTTCAAATTGAAGCAATTTTTGTGCTGCTCGTAGAATTATTGACACTTGCTTATTTTGATATGTCGAAACTAATGCTTTGCTGGTTTCAGTGCTTACAGTACTTTGATTATATTGTCATGTGTAAATGTCAATGACTTTGTTACATGATTTTTACCAATGAAAATACGGAAAATATGTGTCACTGCAATAAAAAATATTGTTTACAGTGAAAATAAATACAGACAATGAAAATACGCATTTCATTTTATTAATTTTATACAATTATTTCATGGGTGTTTGGGAAACAGTTAAAACTGTTGCCCTTAGGTATCAGGGTGACATCTGGAACTGTTGCAAGAGGCCGAAGGGACAACAGTTTACTGTTCCACAAACACCCATGACATAACTGTTTCATTACCTATTACATTGCAATCAAACTACAAGATATATTGTAACAAAATACTAATCATATTTTACAACTGTTTAAATTGTTAACAACTGAATCTTACAGACAAACCACTGCCGTACATTGAGCTGAGCGACGTTTGATAACGCGGCGTTAACGGAAATACCCCGTGACGTCGATAGGGGTGTAAGATTTAAAAATGTTGACCGGTCAACAGTTCATTTCATCATTGCGCATGCACAGGATTTTAGCGATTCATTTAAACAGTTGTGAATAAGGAATTAGTATTTATAGAAGGCATTTGGTAATAATTCTCAATATTTCAAGTATATAATAAATATATGTATCAAACTGTAGCTAAATATACATATATATGTATACATGTATATCTAATTTCTGTAAAAAGTACATACCCACGCCGAAGTGAATGTCAAAAGGGTTTCATAACCGATGTAGTAGCAATGTCCCTCATATGATAGCCAGCCATTTTTACAGCAATCTGTAGAAAGATATTTCAAATAAATGCGAATGCCACTACAAATATTACACGAAATATTTTATGTGTATTTAAAAGTAACATCGTGTTCGTCAATTTAATTGTTGGATTTTTTGTAATGAAATTGTCCTTCTTCAATTTTAGTTTTTTATGGATTTCATATTAAACTAAATATAAATAAAATACAAGAACACGTGATCTGCCCGCATTATACTGTTACATCTTACACGCACCCCCAACTCGCCCCGAAGCACCGGCTTAAGTGGTATTCAATTCTCAACACCAAAAGTATTGGAATCAGAAATCTAGAAAGATCGGCAAATATCAAACTCTTTGCAGCAGTTACTTCCCTTGATCAGTACAGTAACTACAAGTACAGATTTTGATGCTAAAGCATCAAGTCGCCGGATAGAAATATGATTGTATTATCATAAATAAAAGAAAATATCAGTTAAATGGTTTGCGTATAAAACAAAGAGGAACAATAAGTTGAGTAATGTTTATTCATAAACACGTTTTCATTTACTTGCCACAATTATATCTTTCTTGCTGAGAGTTTTATGCAATAAATTTCTGTTATGATATTTTCGTTTGCTTACATAACTTATTATGATTAATGTTAACGATTTTATTGTAAGTATAATAACATGTATAATTATATCAATTAATACTGCTCGATGGCCTAGTGGTAAGTATGACGAAGTTGTAACCTACATTTAGTAGGCGCAAGTTCGAATCTCGGACAAATCCTGTGTGTAGTTTTCATAAATTGATTTTTATTATATCTTTTAACTTTATGAAACATAAGTTGATAAATCGTGTGTTTCATTTCTAGCACTTTTTTATGTCATAATTTTGATAAACGGTCAAGTTTTGCAAAATACAAAAAGTATTATGTTTGTTTGTTTGTTTCATTTTACGCCTTTTCCCAACAGTATTTCAGTCATATAGGCGGGTAGTTTCCTAACCATCGTTCCTGGAGAGTTACACCAGTACTAGACTACCTTCCTCCGCGCTAAACTACCAAAGCATCTCCCGGGGATCGAACCCACGCCAGAGAGGTAGCTGGATTAGAAGTCATCGACTCTAACCCCTCGACCACGGAGGCGGTCAAAAAGTATTATAAAAGAAAACATAAAAAAAATCACTTTATCGAACCTACAGTCTTCAATTTGAAACTAACTTAAAATCTAACACCTTGTCACCGAGGCTTGTAAAGCAAGTGATATGATTATAATTCTACTTGTAATTCTACTTTATACATATACCGTTGTACGTATGGTTTTCTTCAGCATCCGATAATTACCGACAAATTATTACCGATCATCGAATATTTGCAAAGACTTATTAGTGACTATGAAAATATATATGCTTAATTATTGCATAAAACAATGCAATTCTACTGTAAAAGTGGTGTCCGCATAAAAAGATTATTCTTATGTACTATCGAAAAAATATATTATTTAGCTGAAATCAATATTCCTGTCGTTACATACGATAAAGTTAACGTTTAATTGCCTTTCAGTGCAATAAACTATCAACTAAAAGATGGTTTATTAGTTTTCTCTTTGTATCCAATACGATTCCGGCCCCTACTGTCATACCGAGATTTTTCATACAAAATTACTTTGATTTGCACTTTATCAGCTGCCAACCATTCACAAGTTACCTGTATCTACTACCTGTGTTTTACCAGCCATTTGTTACGATTAATAGATTTTATAACAATAACATACAACGTGTAGTCACGTGATTCTGGGAGAAACTGTTTATAATAAATAAGATAAAAAAATAGACAAATATACAATATAATAATATACAAACAACCAGATAATTTAAAAGTGTCATTTCAAATATCATGCATGATTTATTTATCATAAAATAGCAACGATTGACACTTTAAAAAAAAGTAAAAGCATCCCTAAATTCAATGACTGGTCTATAGGGATACGTCATTAATTCATTTTATAAAAATTGTAATGTTGCTTTTTACGATGTCAATATTTGAATATTTCATTTCATTGAGCAACATTATTGTATGTTTGAATTTTTGAGATTACTGAAAACAATTGTAGTCTTTAATTGTTCAGTAATTGTTATGCTTTTATTTACAGAAATTAATGCCTTCTCCTACCATAGGTATAATATTAAACTGTTACAAATATAGTCGCCGGTTTCTACCGGCGACTAATGAAGGAAGAGGAGATCACTGCGTGGAGATTTGTGAAATATAATATCACTCAGATGAATTTTGGGGCAACAGTTAATTATGGTGGCTAATTTGGTACACGTTGTGCGTTGCGTTGTCGATAGCGACAACAGAATCTATATCGTTATCGCCTTTTCGTCTTGTCGCTAGATTGTCACGATCTCGCTTGTCTAATAGCCCATCCTTCGATTTGAGCGTGACATCGCAATAACACGCCGCAAGACAATGCGCAGTCTGGAGTGCATCGTTAGCGACAAGACAACAAAACGAAAGTTCGGAAACGCGCCGTCTGGCGCTTTGTCGTGCCGTCGCTAGTGTTCCATATCAACCATCATAGTTTATAGCTAACATAAGGCACTTATAACCCAATGTTTAGAAATTCTGAAAATGGGACATCCCATGAGCGCTTATAACATAAAAAACATATATTTCAAAATAACAGAGAGTCATTTCTTCATGAACGGATGCTTCACTAGTACATTTAGAAGTTTTTAATTAGTTAAAAAATGTTGGGTTTTTTTGTTTATAAAGTTATCATCAATTATCAATTATCATTTCGCTTTCTTTGATATCTGCAACTAAGGTTGTTTTGCGTAAATTGAAATTACTTTACCTGCGTTGGCTCCCAGAACGAGGCTTGAAAACCCGACTAAAAATGCTACAATCTTCATACCGCAAGGCTGTTAGAACGTCCCTAAAAATTAAGTAATTTTTATTATAAATAGCGGTACTATTTCATTGTTTGGTCTGTTGAAACGCTTTAATTATTATTTGCACATTATGTCTAAGTTTTGATAAAAAAGATAAATGTATTAAAATTAAAGTGGAATAAAAAATACTATCATTACATTACACTACACCAGTATTGACACCAGTTTTCTAAATTGTCCTGTCAAAATGTAAATCAAATTTAGTTTATTTTTTTTTTTTTTTTTTTTTTTTTTTCATTTCAAATGTTCAATTACGTGTTATGCTACATGAATGATACAAAAAACAAATGTTAACATAACTAAGACAAATTGGTAAGGTTACCGATTACAAGAACACTGGCACGAGTCCTCCTCACAAATAAATAAATGAATACATAAATAAATAAATAAATACATAAATAAATAAATAAATAAATAAAAATATTCTTCATATAAATTAAGATGAATATAAAACTTGAAATAAGCATACTTACAATTAACACACTGAATAAAACAATGTTCTTATAATGGGTAAAATACTGAAATAATCTCTTGGTTTTTGTTTTGTCTTTGTCAACAAATATGTCTAGACTGATACTTATAGATATACACGCAGGAAGTTTTGGAGGTTTATTTTTATTTTCAAATGCAACATCTTTATAATGTCACGTGACCGAGTTATTTCTAAAGTTTGTTACGTCATACCAATTTTTTTGAAGAAAAAAATCTGCGCTATGACTTCTCTAGTTGAAATTTGACGCAGTAGCTGTAGAAGACAAGTTCGTCTTAACTGCAAAATAAAAGTTAAATTCAATTTTGACGTTAGTTACGTATATATGATCAAATTCCAAGTTAAGTATTTAAGATCTACATCACATGTCTATATATAGTTGTCATTGTGAAACTATGATTAGAATTTAAAGATGTAGATATTGTGACACACAAAATAAAATAAAATTTAAAAAAAAAAGAACCGGTTAAACCGGGTGATGCTCTCCGAAAAGGTTCTGGACACAGGAAAGTATAAAAAAATCAACAAAGGGCAAAACCTCCAAAATGAGGCAAGGCAGAGTTTGGTTTTTTTCACTGCAATTCTATTCAATGAGCTCTATCTATCTATAAAGTTTACTGATGATATCAGAGTTATGTCCCGGGTAAAATTCAAAGTGTAAAAATGACTAAGGGCAATAACTCCAAAATTTGACCAGGCTTTGTTTAGGTTCTTTAAGCATTGCAGTTCTATCCAATGATATCTAGCTACCTACAAAGTTTCATGTTGATATCTCTAATAGTTTTAAAGTTATGTCCCGGACAAAAGTCAAAAAGTAAAAATAAACAAAGGGCAATAACTTTAAAATAAGGCAAGACAGAGTAATGATTCTTAAGCACTGCACTTCTACCCAATGAGACCTATTTATCTACAAAGTTTCATGTTGATATCTCTTATAGTTTTAGAGTAATGTCCCAGACAAAGTTCAAAGTGTCAAAATGAACAAAGGGCAATAACTTCAAAAGTAGGCAAGACATTGTTTCAGTTCTTGTGCACTGCAAACCTACTTAATGAGATCTATCTACCTAGAAAGTGTCATGTTGATACCTCTTATAGTTTAAGAGTTATGTCCTGGACAAAGTTCAAAGTGTAAAAATAAACAAAGGGGGTTAATTCAAAAATTAGGCAAGGCAGAGTTACGGTTCTTGTGCAATGCACACCTACTCAATGAGATCTTTCTACCTACAGAGTTTCATTTTGATACCACGTATAGTTTTAGAGTTATGTTCCAGACAAAGTTCAAAGTGTAAAATAAACAAAGGGGGGTAATTAAAAAATTAGGCAAGGAAGAGTTACGATTCTTCTTCACTGCACACCTACCAAATAAGATCTATCTACCTACAAAGTTTCATGTTGATACCTATTATAGTTTTAGAGTTATGTCCCGGACAAAGTTCAAAGTGTAAAATAAACAAAGGGGGTAATTAAAAAAATAGGCAAGGCAGAGTAACGGTTCTTGTGCACTGCACACCTACTCAATGAGATCTATCTACCTACAAAGTTTCATGTTGATACCTCTTATACTTTTAGAGTTATGTTCCGGACAATGTTCAAAGTGTAAAAATAAACTAAGGGGAATAATTCAAAAATTAGGCAAGGCAGAGTTACGGTTCTTGTGCACTGCACACCTACTCAATGAGATCTATCTACCTACAAAGTTTCATGTTGATACCTCTTGTCGTTTCAAAGTTATGTCCCGGACAAGAAAAGGGGACGGACGAAAAGACGGACGGAAAGACGGACGGACGGACGGACAAGGCGGCGACTATATGCTCCCCCGAAATTTTTCGGGTAGCATGAAAAGCGACAAAAAAAGTTTCTCGTGAAATTTGATATTTTTATGGAAAAAGGAATTTAGAATACGCCTGAAAATCGTGTTTTTAACAGTGGTAATATGTGAATTCGTACCATTTCATAGATACTCCGCTCAAAAGAGTGATTTGATGATGATGATGATGATGATGATGATGATGATGATGATGATGAAGATGATGATGATGATGATGATGATGATGATGATGATGATGATGACGGAAAAGGTTATTTCATTTGAAAATGTTTGCATCGCGAAATTCTCCAGTTCACATATTGCGACATTTCATTCTTAATTAATAATCAAGCACCCTCATACCGATCGGAATGATCGGATTTTATTATGACCGACTAAAAGGCTCGAGAAGTTGCTGTCGCCCTTTCACAAAATCTGATTTCATTACATAAGGGCGCCGCGCTTCGGCGCGGACGCCAACCAGATGCAAACAACAATATTACATGCACCAGACATTAAACTGGGCATGTAAAAAGTAATTTCTGCGTCACATTGGAATATGTTATAGTTGGTTAAAACAACATAAGTATCCTTTGATACATTTATACGAAGTGAAACCATTATAAACCAAAGCATTAGGAAACATTTTGGATAGTTTCTTATTGTGTTTTTTCCTGATAAATGTCTACCAATTAAAAAAACCTAAGATTGAGTACGTTTAAGTACTACGCAATTGTACATGGTCACTTATTCATCAGTATATAATCATTTTTGAATATTTTAAATATCTCCAAGTTTTTATTGCAATGTTTCGTTGCTGTTATTTTTTGAATGGAACGAGGAAGGTATGCGTGTGGTGTGTGAGAGAGAGGGGAGGGTGAATGATATGAAACGAATAGAAAGACACAAGTCATACTTAACGTCAACAAATTCCTTCTTGATCATTTTCGACAGATAACCACTTTGTTTACACTTATAGATTTGTAAAATTTTATAACATTTGACATTTTCCTTGATCATTTTGAAAAGATAAACAAAGTCGGACACGAAAAAAACACAACACTAATTGAGAATTGAAACTGGGTTTTATTATAACAGACAACGTTCAAAAGTAGGTCACATTTTTTGTGTTTAAACCTTTTTATTTGCTTTACACACGCTAGTTTTAAGGATTCAAAAAATGTAACTTTCTAGTACTAATTCAACATTTGTAGAGATATTAAGCGAAACTTAAATTGTCATGCTAGTGTCACATGGAGAAACTCTTCCCAATTTGTGTTATTAGAACCTCAATGGAAAGTTAGTGTGTTTTTACTGAGTATAATTTGGCAAAAATAATTTAAATATCATGGGACTCTCACCAGGTGCCAAATATAATGCATCTAGGAAGCAACTCGTGGCCCAATGGTGTGTTTTCGTGCAAGATTTTGCCGTCACCTCCGCCGTAGGGAGGTAAGAAACTTCATAATGGAGCATGATGTTACACATTACAACACACCACCACCAAATTATTGTCTGAAAAAATAACACAAATCATGTTTTCGATTTAACATACTTACAAAGAGGTCAATTGTTCCGATATTTCATTTGTATCAGGAATGGAATTGTCCTTGCCCTCTATCGAATCTCTATTCGTGAATATATATAAGAAAAATTATATATAACGAAATCTTGGGGAAATAATCAGGATGTTCCCACTGTCAAATTCCCTAACAGTTTCTTGGGTGACAACAAGAGGGATGGAGAGGTCATTGTCTTGATGTAATACGAAATTGCCATCAAGTTGTGGCCTATACATCTTCACAGCACACACCAGATCACGCTTGATAATTTGAAATTAAGACAGGATTTATCATACCAAATGCGTTTATAAATACGATAGATATAAAATGAAACATTTTTTTATTATTTCAGATGTTATTTCAAAGCAAATACCCTTACTTTTGAATAACATTGTGCTGTGACTGTCCTCCCTGCCTTATCAGATTTAATTTGTTGAATGAAAAATTATATTGTCATAGTGCCTATTGGTCAAGAAAAAGATCAAAAGCTCCTTTGCCAATGGCAAATATGAGAACATTTTTCCTTTACAAGCAGCATTCTTTGCACAATAGTAAGTCTATTGATTCCTATACGAATGTGAAAGCGAAGCCTTTGTTGGCTTATGATATTTTATATCCACATATATTACGATACCCTGCATGAAATATTCATCATTTGCGATGAAAATTCCTTGTTATGTTTTCTGAGATTTTTTTTTTGGGGGGGGGGGGGGCAGCCTTAAAATCTTTCTTTTCTTTTTCTTTTTTTCTTTTTTTCAGCTTTTTTCCACTTTCATCATTTTCATAAGAAAACATTCAGTTTTTAATCATTTAAGTTAAAAACAGGAATAAATATGATATACAACTTTAAGTTTCAGCTGAAATTGTTATTACCTGATTTTTTTAAAATTTATGTAACCTTGCATATATAGAGGATATTCAAATTTTATCTATAAATACAGGATTTATTTTCATTTTTGAGTAGTATAAAAATAAAGTTCATAAGTGGTGGTAGCCATGAGAGTAATATGAAAATGTTCAAACCACAAGTTGAAAATAAATCCTGTATTTATAGAAAAAAACTTGAATTTTCTGTTTATTATATGCATTTGTCTCTTTTTTGACATCACAATTTGAAAGACTTTCTCTTAA